GAGGGGGGAGGCAGGAGGCAGGGAAGGCCCAAATACCCGACGATATGACTCTTTCGTTCGGGGCGGCTTTCCTTGACTTCGGCCTCGGGGGTCCGTTTTCGGGCCTGGCAGCCATCAAAAATGAATTCGGGAGGAAAGGCTAATCTCCGGGAAAGGGTCGGGACCTCTGGGGCCGCGCATTATACTGATCGGATCGTCTGACGTCTGGCGGGGCAGGGGGGGGGGGGGAGGAGCCGGGGGAAAGAGGGAGGAGAACGGGCGGAAAGGGGAGGAGGAAGAAGGGAGGAGGGAGGATCGGGGAGGAAGGAGGGAGGAAGGGAGGGAGCCTGGACTAGGAAACGTGCGCAGTAAAGAGGGAGAAAGGAGGAGCAGGGAGCATAGAGAAGGAGGACGAGGAGAAAGGATGAGGAGAACGGCGGAAGGGGGGGAAGGAGGGGGAGAAAGGCGCTTGCCAGGAGCAGGAGCAGGAGCACTTGGGAAGGGGTAAGGGGAAAAGGGAGAAGGAGTAGGAGGTTGATGAGGAGGAAGAGGGGGAGGACAAGGAGGAGGAGGTGGAGGAGGAGATGGAGGAGGAGGAGGAGAGTGAGGAGGGGCCAGAGTAAACCCGAGGACTCCTACACGCACACACACACACACACCTTAGAAATGTATGGTGCTGTTGTTTTCCCGTGTTCCCAACGTCCGAACTTTGTCCGCCCCCCTTTCAAGAGAAATCCTGCTGTGTGGAGTTACGCATTGATGCATATTATGTGGATTACTAATGCATCTGTCGTGCGCCGTTACACTAGGATTCCCTTTGTGGGTCCTAGTGTGCGGTTACAAGGGGGATCCTTCTGCGAGGGTTTGCAATCGGATTTCCCTTGTTGGGAATTGCATACTGAATCAGATTCTGCGGATTACAAAAAATCCTCTTGCGGGGTTTGCCACCCGATTTCTATTGCTGACATGTCACACGCAGAGCATCGGAATCCTTACATAAAGTGTTTGTTCAAGTCATGTTGTCTCGGACCTGTACAACATGTTTCCTGTTGACGGCATAAAATGGAATTCCTTCCAACACTTAGATACAAAACGATGTACAGAACAAGACGCCACGCAACAAACAACCAGACAACAGAGCAAGCCAGAAGAAACAACCCTTGAAATGTCAAGATTCCTAGTCGTCTCCAGGAGGGCCTCAAGGGAGGCACAAGAGGGCTCCAAGATCGACGGCTGACCCCTCTCTTTTGTCCACGGCTTGTTCCCACGTTTCCATGATCAAGGCAACTCGCCTGGGGATCGTTTCTGGATGGCCTGCTGGAGGTACGCGAAGAGTCGATAATTGTAAATACTACGTCGTACATGTCAGGCTTTAGGAGCACAGCTTGCGCAGAACTCTGCATGCAAAAAACGGACCACCCTACTAACATGTCTCGTGGTGCGACGGGCATTGGTGCTTCTTGCTACAGAGGGATGGACCGGATCGGATCGGAAACGCTGGGGACGATCCCAAGCTCCCAGACGGACAGCCTGCATACACAAGCCAACTGAAAAGAGCACACATCCCTGCGGCGGCCAAAGGCCGAACAACATCCAGATTGTTTAAAACCCGAGGACCCCGCAGCGAGGAGGGCCTCGACGGGCCCCGAGGCAAGCCCCAAGACGGGGGGAGCTGCCCCCCAGGGGTGCCTGCGGGCGCCAGCATGCACTGATCGCGATCGGCGACGTGACGGCTGACCCCCCCGCTTCGGAGGGGGGCGTCCTCGCCTAAGCTCCTGGGCGGGCTCGGCGCGCCCCTGGGCGCGGTCCTCGTCCGCCGCCGCGAGCCGCGCTTCCTCTCCCCCCCCCCGCTCACCGCCGCCCCACCCCCGCCCCCCACGAAGACATCCCTGCCAGTGACCCTCACGTCGCGGATAACACCGCGAGCAACCAGGGAGGCGAAGCGGGCACTGGAAGCAAGATTGGGGGAGAGCAGCAAAGGGCGGGGAGTGCGAAAAGGGTTCAAAGTGGAAGAGGGAGGCGGGCTGGGGAAAGGCAGTGGCTCACTCCACTCAGGTGGGGGGGCAGGTCCTATCATCAGCCGCAGCACGTGATAACTCAGATCCCGCTCCCATCTCATTCGAATCAGCATTTGTTGGCGCCGAAGGTGAGGTTCTCGAACTTTTGCCAGGAGGAGACCAGTTCAATACACCATCAGTATTCAAACTCACAGTCTCAAGCCTAGCTTGCTGAAGTCCAGAATTCATGACTTCACCATGCCAATCAATAATAACGGGTATATCTTCAGATCTCAGCTCCCGCGCTGGAGCCACTGCTGAAGGTGACGCTCTGCCTGACTGCGGGGTGCCGAGCCCACCAAGCGCTGCGCCTGGAGCTCCGTGAGCGTGCGCATCATCAGCTCCTGTAGGGCGAGACCTGCAGCCGATCCCTGGACGATGCGCAGCTTGAACTTGACCACCCCCCCCATGCGCTTGCTCTTCTCCCCGCGCGGTACCTGGAAGGAAAAATTATTCACTGCGTG